AGCCCGTCGCAGAGCCGAACCTCGGCCCGCTCCGCACGCAGCCGTCTCCTGCACTGCCGGCGTCCGCCGCTCCCCTGGGCCCCAGTCCGACAGCGGCTACGCCCGCCCGCAGTATTCCCAGGACAGGCAGTACTCGGATGCGAGCCGGCCGCTCGCCGGCCCTTCGTCACCCGCGCACCAGCAAGGCTTCGACTTTGGCGGCAGCGGCGGCGGCTACGGTGGCCGGCCCCAGCAGCAGCAGCAGCAGAGCTACGGCTACGACGACGACCAGCACCACCAGCAGCAGCATGACCAGCGGCCGCCCAAGAGCAGCGGCTCCGAGATTGCCTACCCGGGCTTCAGGGCGTACCAGCCCGCGCAGCAGGGATGGAGCGGCGTGTAAAGCGGACATGTTGCTTTTTTAGGTTCAAGCGGTTCTGTCCTCCGAGCTGGCCTTTTGATTTCCGCTCCGAACTGTCTACACCATTTGCGGCATATGACTCGGCGTTTTCTTTGTGGTTCTCGTCTTCTTCTTGTTGTTCTTATGAACTGGGTTTCCTGCATTGGTGTCAGGCTGGGACTGTACGTGCTTCTGGAACACACACACTATCATGCGGTCTGGGCGAAAAGGCGCTCGTGGCGTTTTTTTATCTGTTCTCATTTTCTTGTCTTCTCGTCATTTTCCATGTCTACGTCTTGGTCAAACGACCGAGGGAGGGAGGGAGAGGTGTCAGTCGTTGTGTCCCAGTGATGACCGCTTCAGATATGTACAATCTCCATTCGTCCAAGCATAGATCCGCTGTCCTCCTATGGTTTCCTGGATTTCTGTCTGTGGGCACATGGGAGATTTGGGCCTCGGCTGGAATTGACAAGATGACGCTTCGTTCTTGCCTTTGCTCGACCGTGCTGTGCGTGAATGTCGTGCCGACGCTCGTGAGCTGGTGCAATAGAAGCCTGTCTGTGTTGACGCATGCGAATCCGAGGGAGTGGAGATGAATGCGCAGTGTCAGGTTGATGATGTGCGATGCCCTTGTTCGGGGGGGACTCGGCTGGGGCCGACGGGGTTCTAGGGTGTACGCTGTGCGTGAAACGCCAAGGGTCGAGAGACGTCTGATGGCCGGGCGTCAACGCGATGCGGCTTGACAGGAGGTAACGGCAGCCAAGCCTTGCCAGGTCGAGGCACTCAGTCTCAGCATGTGAAAGGGATACACGGATAAACAAGGCACAAACAGTCAAGAGCGATGACGTCAATTGAAGGCTGTGACGCCGCCATGTCCATGGCGACCAAGAATCTGTGCGTGTATAATGGGAGAGAGAGACCCCTTTGTGCCCCCGCCGTTGCGCCAGTACAGTTATGCAAGTAAAGCCAGACTCCAGCCCGTTGGCACAGCAGCCGTCCTGTGTGAAGAATAAAACAGTTCCGTCAAACAAAGAAAACAGATATGATGCACAAAAGAGAAAGAGAGAGAGAGAGAGAGAGAGAGGGAGAGAGAGAAAAGGCGCCAATTACTCCCTGGGATAGAGATCCCGCGACACCTTGACCCGCGGCTCGTGCCGACGACTTGCGCTGCTACCGACAATCGTCTGGGCATCGCCGTCGAGGTCGGGGTCGTACTCTTGCGGCTCGTCCTGCTTCAGCAGCTGCTTGCTGCTCTGCCGCACCTTGGCCGTGGCGTCCGAGTCCTGGTCCTGCTCGTCATCGCTGTCGAAGAGGCCGGAGCGGTCATCGTAGGGGCTTGCGGCCGCGTTGGCCGAGGCCCATTCGGGGTCCTCCTCGGGCACGCGCTCGTGGTCGCCGCCGACGGCCTTCTTGATGAACGAGTCGATAATGTAGTACTGCATAGCGTTCATGATGAGGGGGAAGAACATCATGACGAAGAAGATCTGAAGCTGCTCGTTGCCCTCGGTCCAGCGCAGGGCCCAGTCGCCGACGCGGGAGATCCAAGGGAAGACGAGGAAGATGAGCAGGACGACGACCTTCATGCCGAAGAGGCCGCAGAAGTAGATGAGAGACTGTTTGAGCCACCACCAGGCGTTGGGCGGGCTGCCGTAGTTGCCAGACTGGATCGACTCGGCGGGCTTGCCGAGGGGGGTGTAGGAGAGGCCGAGTGTGAAGACCTTGAGGAGGCCGATGAGGATGGGAATTCCGACGGTGGTCTACACAAATGTCAGTGACACATACACAGCAGAAAAACAACGCCCGAGGGAGACCTACGTCAATGGCGAGGTTCAGGAGGTAGAAAGAGCACGGGTTCGGCGTGTAGTCATCGGCCCGGCTCGCGAGCATGCGTCCCGCCACCGTCGCGGCCGAAGCCGGCTCGACCTGGACGTTGAACCGGCCCGACGTCAGCATGGACATGAAGACGTTGGCAATGTGGACGAGGACCGAGCCAAACACCTGCTTGGACACGTCAAAGAACCAAATCTTGACGGGCCGCTGCGGGCGCTCCTTCCAGCGCTTGTACACGAGGACGAGCAGGGCCAGGCCACCGAGGGCCAGCTGCACGAGGAGGGCAAAGTTGCCGAGGAGCTCGCAGTCGCCCTCGGAGGGCTTGACGAGGGCGGCCACGGCCACGGCGGCGGCGGCGTCGGCGGGTGTTGTTGATGTCGGTGTCGGTGTCGCCGTGGTTGCGGTAGCGACTGATGCGAGGGAGGCGACGACAGAGGACGGTGATGCGAGGGTCGCTAACGCCGCGGTGACGGTTGTCCAGGCATCTTCGACGACTATCGCGAAGCCTGCAGGGGGTGCCATCGGAGGGAATTCGTCGAGTAGGAATCTGTCGATCGAGT